GTCACTCTCATACTCCGGTGGGATGACTATGTACTCAACACGACCAGTGAAGGATCATCAATCAGCATCAGGCGCAGGACAGACGGTTTTTCGTGCCCTCCGAGGCACGAGCTTGAAACAAGTCAAACTTCCCAACTACGGGTTGTTATTGAAATTTTTGTTACCAGAAAGACTCGACAACTAAAATTGACCTAAAACTCGAAAAACTAAAATTGAACCCAAGACCTCCGGATCTGCAGCCATACATTCTAGCCACCAGAGCAATCAAAATTATTCAATATAATGTAGACCATGAAGACTTAAATAAAAAAAAACATCACGTGGACAAAACAGCAAAAAAAATTGTAAAGCAATAATTGCGCATGCGCCACCGCAAGAGGCAATTAGTTGAAAGTGATTTACGTAAATTATTCTACGGAAGCAAAATATTCGACGTACCGGCCTTTTGTTACACAGAAAGTAGATAATAACAAATCTACATGGTTTAAAATATCTTTATATTTTATTTTAAGCCGATTATTTTTTGATTACAGCGTTTTTATCGAAAATTGTTGAATCATAATTAATCGAAATGAACAAAGATGTTTTATGTGTCGCTGGAATATATCAATGGTACATAAAACACTTTTCTACTCCATCTTTTCAAAGTTAGAAGGAGAGACTTTGTACTCTCATTGTAATTGTCTCTTTGTCATTGTATTGTCATTGTTGACTGAATGCGCTGAGGCTGTCTTCTTCGCCTTCCTTCTTCGCCTGTCTTCTTCGCCTGTCTTCTTCGCCTGTCTTCTTCACCTATCTTCTTTGCCTCCGGTTTCCTTCTCTTCTCTTCTCTTCTCGTCTCTTATCTCCTCCTCTTTTTCTTTTTTTTCCTGCAGTAAAAGATATCCTAAATGTTGACCCGAGCAATAAGTTATCACTAGACAAAATTTAGTTAAAATCGGTTCAGACTTCAGTACTTTTTTCTTGAAAAGCACACACGTAAACAGACAAACAGACTTACAGACAAACAGACAAAATTTTATTTAATAACTATTGTTTTGGGATTTATATTCTGTAGGAGACAATACGTTGTAGTCATTGTTTTTAAAAAATATTACACGTACAGATTTCGCAAAGTCACTGTTATATTATATGCATGAACGAATCTCTAATTCGTCCATGATTATATGTATAGATATAAGTTAGTTATTAGTTTAAATACTTATTTATTTATTTACAAAGAATCACTTGTTTCAATAAATTAAAAATTTGAAAAACCCCCTTTGGAAATTAATTGTCATTTAACGATTACACTGGTACGCGTGAAGCATTTAATTGAGCGAAGAGAGATCACATTTTTTTAATTTTTTTTTATTTAAAAAAAATGTTTTGATTGTTTTTTTCTGAACGCGTCTTTTGACATCCCAATCAGTCACGTAGTCCCAAAATCCGCGACGCCAGGGCGATGTCGCACTTTCGCGGAAAATCGGGCCTATACCGAAGCGCAACAAAAACACTTTTTCAATGTTAAAAACTCAATTACTAACTCATTAGGCACTGAATTTCTGGAACTACTTAAAATTGTGTAATGTAGGGATCCACAAAGATAAAATAAATAAAAAAATAAAATTTTAAAGGAGAGCGCTAGGAGTGGGGGTGGGTGAAGGAAGGGGAGAGTAAAAAAATCCATTGACAAACAGAGGAGAAAAAGGTGCAGAACTGTCTTGTCGTTATCTATTTATATATAGACTAACGACTCACCCTCGCTTCGCTCGGGTTCGTTCTTGGGTTGATTCCCCACACAAACTTTCATCCCAATTCTCACTTCCTTAAGGAATGATTTCCGGAATAAAAAACATAAGATATTTATGTCCTTCCTAGGGTTTCAAACTATCTTCTTACCAAATTTCATCTACATCGATTCAGCAGATCCAGAGATTACTTCTTACAACCTCACAAACTCACAAACTTTACCTTTTTATAATATTATTTAGTATAGATTACTCTTATCTAACATTGAAATATGAAGAAGGCGATCATTGCCAACCTGGGGCCTTACCATGAACTCTAATAGCATGAATACTATAATATATTACTTTCTGAGCTATCTTCTGTAAAATCTATTGTATAATATACATCTATCTATTGTATAGTATAATATACTTTAGCTCAGGATTCCACTCGACTTTTTAATTTATTTAATTTGTATAAATGCTCTGCAGTCGAGATGTTACAATAACGTCCTTCTAACTGATTTTCGTTATGGCAGCCAATCTCACTGAGACTAACCAACTTGTAGTGACATATTATTATAGTTCAGTGTCTCGGTAGTGTCTACAACACAACTAACATGTACATCTGGAGGTGCTAGGTTCGAGTCCCGGGTCCGATAATCAAATCTTTTATAAAAAAACTTTGATTTGCCTCAAAATATAAATCTATAATTAAATATATTTCTATCTAAAGCATGTTATTCTATTTTAGCATTTGTATTGTTTAGGTATATAACAACTGTAATAACTTCGACCATGGTGACATCTAACAACTAATGAATATGACTACATATTTAATGCTAAAGCATCCGAAACGTCGGAAATCATAAAATCAAAATAAAGCTCGTTAAAAGCCATGATAATAATATATATAGCACGTTTTCGAAAGCTATGAAAAATCCGCCCCCCACTTGCCCGCGTCCACTATGGCCTGACCGTATCGTACTGAAGGAAGGCCCGTGCCCAGCAGTGTGACGTTAAAAAGTGCTTGCTGAATACATAAATATTACATGAGAAATATTTTTTTTAGCCCAATAGAAGTATTACGTCAACCATTCCTCATTCTTCATAGAATTGAAAAAAAAATACAGGCAAGTCACCAACGTTTCTCAGAATAACGTATTAATCATATATTTGTTTCAAATTATCGCTTCCAGTTATCGGAAAACAAAATATTTTGGTTGATATTTTTTCTTATTACTGATTGATATGTTCCGAACACCGAATATACCTTAGTTATCAGACTACTGTAAATGCGAAAGTTTGTATGTGTGTATGTTTGTTACTACTTCACGCTGAAACGGCTGGACAGATTTGGATGAAATTTAGTACACAAGTAGACTATCAGAGATGCCAATGTCAATATCAAATGTCAAAACAATGTCAAAGTGCCTGTCAATGATATTAAAACAATTTTCGCGTTTGTTTTTGTTCCTATATATTTATGTAAGGGTGATTGTTTTAAAATGCTCTATTGATTTTAGTCGACTTTCATTTTTAGATGACTTAGATAAGAATAAAGAATTAGGAAAGTTGTTTGAATTATTCTTAATTATTAATATAATAAATTTGAAAGTGTGTTTGTTTGTTTGTTTGTCCTTCTTTTACATCTTAACGGATTAACGGATTGGCGTGATTTTTTGTGTGGAGATGGCGGGCTGGAGTGACATAGGCTACTTTTTAGCGCGGGAGATATCTCTTACCCACGGGACAAAACCTTATAATAACAATCCATAAAATATATGTGATAGGAATTACTTGAAACTTGGTATATATAGTCTTCAATAAAATTAAATAAATACGTGTGTTAGTATTTTTTAAAATTTATCCTATAAGGGAGTAAAATACGGGATGAAAGTTTTTATGAAACTATCTTTTTAGAGTTTTTTTGTAGTTTTGACGCGAGCAAAGCCGCGGGTTTTGCTAGTTATATATAATTACGGCAAAATAATTAAAAATAGTTTTATTAAAATAATATAAATTAAAAGTGTGCCCACTGTCAAATATCATAATAACTTTAATTGAAGATGGAAAAAATGGCCGTATAGTATTTTTTATATTTAGCTATAGGTGTTATATAAACTGGGGGCGCGCCCGACCGAAGCAAGGAGAAATCGCTAATAATCAAAAAAGCCAAATTCCTGTTTTATTTATAGTTCTATTATCAGACCGCGACAAATTAAATGAGCCCAAACCTGATACTTCTTCATTAGTAAGTAGTGGAGGGATGCAGAAAAACAGAGTATTGTAATATAATAACTTTTTTATACTCCACTTCTTTTAATATTTCCTTTCTTTTGTTTTTTTTTCTTAAACTGAATTATTCTTGCGTACTCGCCATCTGCGTGGAAAATATTACACTGCGTCGTGAGTTAGCAAGTTCATATCATTCTCTCTCATCTCAAAGCTTAAGGAAAATTAAGATACAAAGGACGCTCCGCTTGAGTTCATCCCTAGTTCATCATATGTTTTAACGGTTAATATAAATTTCTCAGGGATGAGTTATTTTCCCGCAATGAAAAGTATCCTTTATGTTGACCCAGATAACCAGCTATCATCATACTAAATCTCATCAAAATCTGTACAGTGGTTTTTTAGCTATGCGTTCCCAGACAGACAGACAGACAAAAAATCTTAAAAAATATAGATTCGGCCTCTGTATCGATAATAATTACTATTTCAATAAGATTTTCCAAAAAAATATTTAATGTAATGGTTCAACTCAGAATTTTATTTTACGTAGAGATTATATGTATAGATTCCATCTGATGCTTAGTGATGATCATCTGTTCATGGACATGAGCGACGATAGCCACTGAAACAAAAAAGTGGCGGATGCGTTGCCCGCCTTTAAGGGACCTGGAAGACGACTCTTTAAGCGTTCCATATTATAGCGTGTATCATTATTTATGTTTTTGCTGTTCTTATCTCATTACAATAATCTAAACTTAAAAAAGTTGGCTTTGAATTGTATTTATATTTAAAGCTGCAGCTGATAAAATTTGGGGAGATATGTGATCTAAAAAAACCCTGGGTTTTTTAATAGTTTGAATATAATTTCAAATAACAATTTATCTCCACATTAAGATAATGATAGATTGCCACTTCTTATCTTTATATTATCTTTACCTTCTGCAATTATAAATGTATAGGAAACGCCCAAAAAGGACCAGTGTACGTAATTAAAGGGTAAAAATACTTACTCGTAGTGGTTACATATTGGAAATATTTAGCGTCAATACAGACGCAATGCTAGGTATGTTTTACTTTATTTCAAAGGGAATCGTGTTATTTGAAGTGCAAAAGTTTTATAAAAGTGCTTAATTTAAACAGTGAATATAGCTTTTGCTTTAATGGATTATACAATTCGCAGCAAAATAACGCCGCGACATTTTAAATATCTTTTCGGATTTCTCGCGGATTTATTTTGATCATGATATAGTTGTTACAGACAACACCGTTGTAATAATTGAATGACCTTTGAAACGTTTCAAACCTTAGTCTCTCCCGTGACCATGATTGCTGTAAAGTGTAAAGCATTCGAAACGTCGTGAAGCAACCCGCGAAAAATTCCGAAAAGATAGGTAATTTCATTTAAAATTTCAAACATTCGCGTAAATCTAAGAAAGTATTAAAGAGCGACATTTTAAAATAGAAATTATCAAAATCAGTGTTGCATTGCATGCGTTTTGATAATTTCTAATTTTAAAATTAACAATGATTAATTTCTAATAATTACAAATTATCAGCATACGTTAATATATAAGTGATATGGTTTAGGTAATTTCCGTGTTACATTATATGTATAATTGTATAATTAATCAGTACTAAAACTATTGATAATATTTTTTTTCATTTGTCTAATTATTATCTAATATATTGATGAAATAATTCATGAGCTATTTTTGACCATGCCTTGCATTGAGTTTTTCAAGGCCTAGATAAAAATTTCAACGATATCCCAAATTTTGGATTTCTGGACTAACTACCTTTCTTAGAATTAGATTTACGCGAATTTTGAATGCGAATTTACGCGAATTCTTAACTATTCTTAGCTATAAATAATTTTTTAAATTTACGCAAATTTTAAATGTCAATTTACGCGAATTCTGAGCTAACTACTTAAATTAGATTTGCGCGACTTTTGAATGCGAATTTACGCGAATTCTGAACTAAGTACCCTTCTTAGATTTACTCGAAGTCACTTTATACGAGTACTTTATCAATATCAATCCTCTTTTTATTTGTATTCTGGTTTTTACTTTATTTAATTAACGGTTACTCATCATCAAAATATTAGTAGATACTTTTACTGAAGTTAAAAGGCCAAGAGAGATTTTTGTTTTACTTTTTAGAGATTCTGTCAGATAACTCTCATTGAGTTTTTCCTTATGAGCCCAAGTACGCTTTATCTGCTATAAGTTTCTAAGAAATTGAGACCACAGACTATTTGATGTACAGCATCAATTCAAAGTTAGCATGTCTTGGAAAGACCACCAAAATAACAGTACACCAAATTTCCAATCATTCAAGTCCGTGAAAGTTAGTAAGACCCTTTTGTCAAGTAGGAAATGAGTATAAGTACATATAAGTTGCGTAGAGGTGAAGATTGAGCTCAGTGGCGTGCCATAGGAGAGGCCTTTTTCTAGCAGTGGACCTAAGCAGGATCATTGTGATGAACTTGTTTTTGCAACCAAAACAAAAAAAAATTGAATGATTTTTTGATGATCATCAAACATCTGAACAGGTCTTCATAAATTATAGCGAAGAATATTATCTTGACCACGCATCAAAATTGGTCCATTCGTTTAGGAGTTACGTTGCCACAGACAGACAGACACACAGATATGCAGACACACAAACAGACACGACAAACTTATAACACCCCTCTTTTTGTGTCGGGGGCTAATAAATAATTGCGTATATAGTGCTACAGAAAAAAGTTTGAATAGAAAAGCCATCCACATAATTTCTTTGTGTACTTAATAATAAGTACACGTGATTTCTTCGATTTAATCTATAAAACATAACATGCGCATTAATTATACTACGGTATATAAACGCGTGAATTCATTAGTGGCTATTTACCTTATTCCCGAAGTTTCGACTGGGCTGCACCAGCCGTGGTCACAGGCATGCGCAATTTGAAAAAATTATCTTTGTGCGAAATATTTTTTTAAAAATCTGTCAAAAAATAATTTATTATTCATTTAGTTTAACATTTTCTTCAAAATCCCCAGGGAGGCTTCTCTTATTGGGTCTCGTAGGTTTATCCTACGGCTTACCCTCTCCACTCACCGTGCCAGATGATAGATGTCCTCCAGATTATTCGCACTATCTCCTGCCACATGAATACGACTGCACAAAGTATTACTATTGTGAATGGGGAAGAAGATTCATAGAACCAAGAGATTGTGCTCCTGGAACTGAGTTCTGTGCTACTCTTCGGGTATGTTATTTATTTTTATTTACATACATACATGTTATCGGGTAGTTGCATTTGAAACCCCATAATGTAGTAGTGTATGATAGTACGACGATGTACATAAAATGGCTTGCACATATAAGTTTCGTAGAGGTGAAGATTGAGCTCAGTGGCGTGCCATAAGAGAGGCCTTTTTCTAGCAGTGGACCTAAGCAGGATCATTGTGATGAACTTGTTTTTGCAACCAAAAACAAAAAAATAATAATTGAATGATTTTTTGAGTGTAATATTAAGAAGGCAGTTAAAAAGTTATTTGTATTCTAAAAGGGATTCTTTAAATCTCTAACATCATTTTCTTTTTTTTATTATCTTTAGATTTTTATTTTCTCATTTCCTCCTATCTAATCAAATGGTGTCTAAATCTTTTCTTTCTCATTTCAAGTTTTTATTTTTAACGGTATATGCTTCGTCACTTAGTTTGGGCAAAAGGCTATCACAAAATCTGTGGAAAATTTCACATAGACTAATTACAACCTCATATTATTTTTTTAAGTTTAAAAATTCACATATTGTGTATATATAATAAATTATTGCATTACATTTTATAACATTTCAATTTGTTATCAAATTATTAGATAACTAAATGCTATAAGTGAAGATTTTTACAACGATAATAAAAAAAGTAGCTAAAAAAGATAAGATTTTAAAATTTGCTATAATATAATTAAAAATTGACATTTTTTTTTGTTTTCATAGGTATGCGTTCATCCAGTGAGTGCTAATTGTACCTTACCAGGACCTTCAACTTCGACACAGCCAAGTACAACTATCGCACCAACAACCACTGCTGCACCAACAACTACTGCTGCACCAACAACCACTGCCGCTCCAACAACAGCTGCACCAACAACAACTGCCGCGCCTACAACTACGGCTGCTCCCACAACTACGACCACACAAAGTACAACTGCTGCTCCTTCCACAACTCTTTCAACTCTCGCACCAGATGAGTTACTCCCAAATGGGTGTCCAGCTGACTTCAGCATTGAGTTATTATTACCTCACCCGTACGACTGCGGCAGATTCTATCAGTGTTTATATGGAAACAAGTTAGAAAGACCATGTGCACCTGGAACTCATTTTAATTTTACAAATCAGGTAAGATATTATACCTCGTGCAAAAAGCATACTAGCAGTAACATTTCAAAAATAACTTGTCACTACTTCTTTGACTGAAGAAGTGTTTTGTCTTTCGCAATATATGGTAATCACATATTATAATGCTTGAGAGCTACTTTGCTATTCAACTGCCTCGGTGGTGTAGTGGCTATCATGTACGGCTGCACACCCGGAGGTCCTGGTTTCGAGTCCCGGGTCGGGCCAAGTTTAGTTATTGAGTCTTTCTGTATAGTAAGCCTCAGTAACAGCCCGGAGTTGGGAATTAGGCTGTGTTTCACCCCCGTGACTCGGAGAGCACGTAAAGCCGTCGGTCCTGCGCCTTAGCTCTCACTGGTCGTGTCGATTAGTCGTCCCACAGGAGTATGAGAGTGACAGGAATAAAGAGTGCAGTTGTGTCTGCGCGTACACATGTGCACTATAATATCTCCTGCGCAGTTGGCTAGTCTCAATGAGATTGGCCGCCGTGGCCGGAATCGGTCAGGAGAACATCATTTTGCTATTTTCTAATTTATGGTAATGATAGGTCTCCACTTTTTAGCGAAATTTACAAATAAACGTGTTTAACTAGTGCCATATATTTATTTAAAGTTCTAGAAGTTAAGTGGTTATAAACATTTTTCACTTTTTAGAGATGTATGGATATAGATGAGGCAGGATGTGTGCCAGTAATCACTATCCCGCCTTCAACTACGGCTTCTCCAATAACTACCAATGCACCAAGTACATCTGCTGCTCCTTCCACAACTCTCTCAACTCTCGCACCAGATGAGTTACTCCCTAATGGGTGTCCAGCTGACTTCAGCATTGAGTTATTATTACCTCATGAGTCAGATTGCGGCAGATACTATCAATGTGTACATGGAAATAAGCTAGAGAGACCATGTGCACCTGGAACTCATTTTAATTTCATATATCAGGTAAGATTAATATCTTGTAAAGTTAATACTTTAAGTAAATACCATACTCGTAGGTGAATTGCAAAAATTATTTATCATTACTTTATTTATTTATCAATACTAAAAAAAAATTTCTCTTTTCAGAGATGTATGGATATAGACAAGGCAGGATGTGAGCCAGGTGAAAGTCCGACTGTATCTACACCTGGTTTAACTAGTTCAGCTACTACTCCTGTACCAACTACGACAGCCGCACCAGCAACAACTGCCGCACTGACAACAACAACTGCTGCACCAACGACAACAACCGCTGCACCAACAACAACAACTGCCGCACCAATAACAATAACTGCCGCACCATCAACATCAACTGCTGCACCAACAACAACAACTGCTGCACCAACAACAACTGCAGCACCAACAACAACAACTGCCGCACCATCAACAACAACTACTGCACCAACAACAACTGCAGCACCAACAACTACGACTGCTGCACCAACAACAATAACTGCCGCACCGACTACAACAACTGCTGCTCCAATAACAACGGCTGCACCTACAACTGCTGCTCCATCTACAACTGCTGTACCTGTCACTACTCTCTCACCAGGAGAGTTACTTCCAAATGGATGTCCAGCCAACTTCAGCATTGAATTACTATTACCTCATGAGACAGACTGCGGCAGATTCTATCAATGTGTACATGGGAATTTGATAGAAATGCCGTGTGCTCCGGGAACTCACTTCAATTTTGAACGTCAGGTAATTATATATTATTTTAATCCCTTCTGTAAAAATGTGCTACTTGAAAATTATAAGCATTGTTCTGAAATTCCTTACAGCTACTTTTCTTGTAAACAATAAGCAGTATAGTGAACAATGTTCTAGAATTGCATCAAGAATCTCGAATTTGGAATTGACAACATTCAGTAGTGCCTCGTTCGATAGTATTTTGCTCCTTTAAAATAAAAAGCATTATTTCATATTATATATTTTTTTGGACTAACAGCTTGTGTTTTGATTTGGGTGTATATTATCGTCTTATATTTACTAATTTTAGGCAAAAACGGAACATGTTCATTGCCATGCAATAATATGAAATTATATTACATCATATGATTTTTGTACTTATATTTAAATATATAAAAATTGTAAATATTATTTCAGACATGTATGCATATTGAGGAGGCAGGCTGTGAGCAAGGTCCTTCGACATCTCCACCTGACTCAACTAATTCTCCTACGACTGCTGCTCCATCCACAACTTCTGCACCTATTACTACTCTCTCACCGGGAGATTTGCTTCCAAATGGGTGTCCAGCTAACTTCAGTATTGAGTTACTATTGCCTCATGAGACAGACTGCGGTAGATTTTATCAATGTGTACATGGGAATTTGATAGAAATGCCATGCGCACCTGGAACACATTTCAATTTTGAGAGTCAGGTAATACATCGTCACTTTTTAATGAAAATATTGAATATAATAGTATATCAATTAGTTGATTAGCAGCTCCATTTTGCAAATTATATTAAGATGAGATTTAAATCTTCTAACAATATAATATTACAACTTTTGCATTTACAATTCTTGCATATACATTTATAATAGTAGAGTCTTGAACTCCAGGATAGTAAAGAAAGAGTGGATAACTTACTGCGAAAATTTGCGAAAAAGTAAATGATCGTATATTTACTATTTTAAGGCATAAACTTAATATGATATTATATTTAAATATATAAAATTTGTAAATATTTATTATTTCAGACATGTTTGCACATTGAAGAGGCAGGCTGTGAACCGGGTCCTTCAACATCTTCACCTAGCTCAACTAATTCTCCTACGACTGCTGCACCAACAATCACGTCTGGTCCAACTGCAACAGCTACCCCAACAACTGCCGCACCAAGTTCAACTGCTGCACCAAGTACACCAACAACTGCCGCGCCAACAACCACGGCTGCACCAACAACTACAACTGCACCTATTACAACTGCTGCTCCATCCACAACTGCTGCCCCATCTACAACTGCTGCCCCATCCACAACCGGTGCTCCATCCACAACTGCTTCTCCATCCACAACTACTGCCCCATCCACAACCGCTGCTCCATCCACAACTGCTGCACCTATCACTACTCTCTCACCAGGAGATTTGCTTCCTAATGGGTGTCCAGCTAACTTCAGCATTGAGTTACTATTGCCTCATGAGTCAGACTGTGGCAAATTCTATCAATGTGTACATGGAAATTTGATAGAAATGATATGTGCACCCGGAACACACTTCAATTTTGAGCGTCAGGTAATAAATACAGTATCCCCTATAAAAAAACCCAAATAGTTTAAAATCGAAATTTCATCATCGTATATGAACACTGTCCAACATTCGTTAAGTTTGTTAACATTAATTAATTATATAATAATATTAACTAATGAAAGAAATGTAAAAGGAAAATTATGTATGGATTCATTAAGTTGCAGTCGATTAAGTGTTTGCGTATTTATCTGTGATCGGCACAGTTTTCATAAATTCATTGACACTATTTGAACAAAAAGACCGTGATACCTGATGGTGGCCCATGATGGCTAACCACACAAGTATGCCCTGTACACTGTCATGCTTACTTGTAGTCGCATATCGTTTGGACTTATTAAATATATTCTTAGGATATATATTATATATTTGTAAAGTAATTCAAGTATACTTTAAAGATACCAATATGAAAATCGCAAATTACCTTTAACGTTTCAGATATGTATGCATAAAGACGAGGCAGGATGTGAAGTACACCCAACGACGGCTGCACCTAGTTCCACAAGTCAACCGTCCACAACATCTGCATGGACCACCACTTCTGCACCAAGTTCGACTACAATAAGCTCGACTACACAATGGACCACAACTGCCCCAACAACAATAACAACCTCATCAACAACAAGCGGAGGAGAAAATGATGACCCCTGCAAAACTCAATGCCATGTCCCACATTGGCGTCATGAAACTGATTGTGACAAATTTTGGCGATGTGAAGGAAATCAAAAGGTGCTAGGAATTTGCTCAGAAGGCTTACACTTTAATGTGAACACACAGACATGTGATTTTATGTGTAATGTTGACTGCGTGAGGGAAGAAGTCCAGTCCACTGCAGAAAGAGACGGTTTGAAACTATTCGTACCATGGGATAAGGTGGATGAAATGATCGAAATGACTAATAAAGGCGAAAAGCCCTTCAATTATTATGGTGAAATACTAAGCCATATATAACTTTCTGAACTAGAATCTTTTACATTGGGTTTAGTTTTCACTAATTGTTATTTTTTAAACAAAAAATAAATATTTTAGAAATTGAATAACGATTAACAAAACTTTTCTTTTGTTTCATTATTATTTGGATCTATCTTTCTTGCACTAACAATATTCAGCTCTATGTTTCAAATATACATTATAAGGAAGTAAGTGATTTAAAAAAAATAGGATTTTAAGCCTCACAAATGACGTAAAAATTATTTACTATATGTTAATATTTATTAAAATAAAGCAATTATACAATAGTACTAGCATTTTTGTTCCTAACACAAGTAAGGGTCTTTGAAGCAACTCAAATAAAGTAGCCAATTTTAGTGCCAATTGCACTCTGTGAGAGAGATATTGTGCACAATATATATGCAGATAATTATTTGTAAATAAATAATTTATTAGCATTAAAAACTTTATTTAAAATAAAGGAAAATACAAATATACTTATAATTATAATTTTTTTATTAATTATTACTGTACAAGTCATGTCTGCGTGGAATTGTGGCAACAATACTAGCCGCACGCCCCCGCTGAATGGCAATGACGATTCTTTGGGCGAAAAACGAGCCAGCTCTCCTGTAACTAATAGAAGCGATAAGACAGCTTGTCTTTTAAGAAGTGTTTAACTCTTCGACTTCATGAGAGATTGTTATTACCACAGACTCATACTGCATACATCTTGTAAACAATATTGGCTATAGTGCATGTAATCCATTACTCAACATTCCAACAGCAATTATTTCGCTGATAGTTTTTGTAAAAATCTTACAGTTCCCTACTAATGGCAGCCAACAAGGACTCTAGGGTTCAAGGGTCTAAAGGATAAGCGTATGATCGACAGTTTTATGTTTTATGATAAAATCTAAAGAAAGGGATAAAATTATGTTTCCTTCACCATTTTAGCAAGTGTTATGTATTTAGCCCTTTTTAATGTCCCATTGCTTGGCACGGGTCCTTCAATACGGCAATCAGGCCATAGTCCACTATGATGGCCATGTGCGAGTCGGCGGACTATACATGACTTTCAACAACTTGCTACTTGCTTTGAAAATGATTCGCACATAAAATGCCAGAATGCAAGACTCGGGGCTTGAATCCGCTTCACTTGGCCTAGCCAGCCACAAGCAAGATACCACTGAACTACTACTGCGCGCACTACAAAAACAAATACTATAAGTAACTGGGCGGCCTTCACTTCGCTCGGCACAGGCGTTCGTCGAGTGGATTATCATGCATTGCGACAATGCAAGTACCACTAACATTTACGTTATCAGCATGAGAGCAGATGAAAAGAGGCTCTAATTTTATATATTAATAGTTATAAAGAATGTTTCTCTTTGTCAAATAATGCTTTTGTCAGAAAAGACACCTAGTATATTTATATATAGGATAAACTTAAAAAGCAAAACCATATCTAAATATGATCCGAATCGTTAGAACCGTTTCAAGATGTATACAAAAATTGCTCATTTAATATTATAGGATATATTATTTTTAGGGTATTAATAAAAAAACATATATGTACATTTTTATAGTTTAGTTTTATTTCCAATTATTTTAATCGATTGAGAAGATTCACATTACAGCTTAAATCTATCGTTCTACATATTCTCAATACAGATATTAAAGATGACGACATTTTTAATATTTGTATATTTAATAATACAAACAAAAATGTTTCTTTAAATAAGATGCATAAGTTTTAAAAACAAAATACACAGCGGAATTCCAAAACATTTTTTTTTTTCTTATTTTTCTATCGTAATTTAGCCAGTACCTGAGTTAAAGTTCGTAGTACCTGGGCGACCGAGCTTCGCTCGGAGTTTTTGGCCAAAAAACATTAAAAAAAAAACAAACTAAAAATTTGAATAAATATCTGTTCGTAATATCAAAATAACAGCCTTTTACTAAATACAGAATATGAATATGCGGTAATTATGTATAAACGGTACTTATAAGAAAAAAAAACAATTATTAAATTTTTTGTCTGTCTGTCTATATGTATTTTTTGTTTGTCGGTCCGAAACGGCTGGACCGATTTTGACGTGACATTCACTGGCAGATGTAATTGATGTGAAGAGAGTAACTTAGGCTTAACTTTTATTTTAGAAAAAGAATTAAATTGCCGCGCAAAAAATTAAAACTTATTAAATTGTGAAAATAATTCGCGTACTTAGCAAAGCAAAGGTAAGTCACTAGTTCTTTAATACAATTGTTTTATTTTTTAATTTAAAAAATTGGTAGGTGACTACAATATATATGCAATGCAAATGCAGTTTCACGTAGAAATTACAAAAGCTGTCATTTTTTTAAAAATATTAAATAATCATCTCCATAGTAATTATATCACATCCTTAAGATAATTAAAAATAATAATTATAACTGACATATCAAATAAGTTCAGACTAAAGAATTATATAGACGGGGTCCGCTAAAATAGTAAGGTGATTCGCTGTTTATGTTACTATTCACAATTTTTCCATACAGATCGTTTACTTTCTTTAAAGAATAAGGGAAATTTGATACATGTATTATTTAAATTTCTGTAACATTTTTGAGAATAAAACATGAATAATAAATATAATACTATATTATTTTGTGTTTTTTGGACATTACTCTTTTATTACCTTATTTAATTCTTTTTTATTATAATAAAAGATCTTTAGCTGTTTTAACCGACTATTATTTATTAACATTTATTTACTTATCACTCAGTATACAAATTGTCATTTGTATAGGATTGTAAAACATTTATTACATTACACATTTGACGACACGTTTGGCTCAGTTTGTAGTGACCCTACTTGCAGTGCCAGCGGTCGCGGGTTCGAGTCCCACTGGAGTATTCATTTGTGTGATTAGCACGAATGTATGTACTCCAGTCATGGGAGTTTATATTTATAATATGTATGTATTTAAAGTTATATATGTGTAGTGTATCAATTATCTGGTATCCATAACACAAGCATCGTAGCTCACCATGGAACTAGATGGTGCTGTGTTAATGTCTCAACTTATTTATTTATTATTACAACATTATTGTTTGATTTCATGTTTACTTCTATGACACTCTATATTATTCCTTAGTCTGAAGGTAGAAAAAACAATTTAACTAAATATAAAAACAAAAATTTTCTTAGATTGTTCAGTTTGATCTTTTAATAATTATCATTATTAAAAAATCGATTTAACATACAAACGATGTATTTACTATTACGTTATGTATATATATTTTGGTCGTGATAATATACAATTTTACTCTTAATCTTATAATAAGATATATACACATGTTTACACTTGACTGTCAGCTGGATTTACTTCTATGACCTGAAAAGGAAAAGGATATATTAATGTTAAAAATCCATTGTAAGGGCTGACTATGTTAGTAACTTCACATGACTGTTATAATGTATACAGGTGGTGGGAACGTTGATGTCCAAAAATATAATTTAGGTCCCTCGTATCGTAGGGTATCCGAATCACCCCCATATATGCTACGCGACTTTTCATAGTTTATGAGTTATGACTTTTTTTTCTGAATTTTTGAGAATTTTCGACTTGACTAACTATATGGTTATACATCGCTTAACTCAATAACTTCACATACTTGTCCCGACCCGAGACTCCAACCCAGGCCCTCTGGAACTGCAGCATTACATGCTAGCTACTAAACCAAACTACGTGCAATATAATGCAAAAATAATTAAATCTATCTTACAACCTTTCATCGCTGAATTCAGTTTAATAAATTTTGTCATAAACTCAAAAAAAGGAATTAGCAAAGAAAAGGTAAAAACCGAAAATTTTACCCTTTTAAATAAAACTATATATATATATATATATATATATATATATATATATATATATATATATATATATATATATATATATATATATATATAGTTCTATATTTTTGCTGCGGAACAAAAACCCAAAAATAAAACCACGACAAGATCCGAAAACATAATATTCGTGCAAATCTAAGAGACTATTATATAACAACTATCTTTTCGATTTTTTCCACGGAATTATTTTGATTATAGTTAGTCCCGACTATATAATAATCTTTGAGAAGTCTATAACCTTAGTTACGGGAGACCGTGACCATGGTTGTTGTAAAGCATTAGAAATATCATGACCAAAAACCAAAAGAAATCCGCGTCAAAATCCGAAAAATTAGTTTTATTTTAAATGTCAAATATCGAGTAAATCTAAAAAAGTATTAAATACCCTTTTAATCTTCTTCCCATACATAGACCAGAACATGACTTGTACTTCAGTCGGCTTGCCTGTGCGGGAATCGAACACCCGACAACTGTCAAACGGTGGGCAGTAGAGATGTAAGGAGACAGCGCCATCTACGTGAGAGGAATTCTCCATTCTATGCAGACCGAGGGCATCTGAAATCATATGAATGAGTTTCATGGTCACTGACTCTGTTATTATGATGGAAATCGGGATATTTACCATGTTTTTCATTTACTTTTATGAGTTGTTTATTCCGCTAGGTTCTATTATACCCATGACCACGGCGTAAAATATTGGGAATCTATGCATAAATAGACAAAGACTAAACAGATCAAAATCTATTTTTTGAAAAAAAAATTTGGAAACAGTTATTTTAATATAGCTAAAGCTAGGAAAGTTCTAATTATTAATGTTGTCCTCAAATTCTCAATAATAATTATGGTGGAATTTCGATCGAAAGATAGAATTTTCGGACGCACTTATTTATAAAAAAAGTAAGGAAAATAGAAATAATTTTAATAGAACTATTATATTTTACTAATGAAATACTTTACATTTTATATATTACTAGCGACTCACCCTCGCTTCGCTTACGTTCGTCCCTAGCTTTATTCCCCATACAAACTTTCATTCCCATTTTCACCCCCTTGAATAGTTAATGCACCCTGGTACGTAAGAAATGACGATCTCCATCGGGACCTCAATGTAGAGATTGTCGATAAAGTGATAAAAAAATACGCAAAAGCTCACGAGCAAAGACTTCATAAACATGTGAATATCGAGGTAATCCAGCTCTTAGGCAATACGGACATAGTGAGAAGGCTCAAAAGAACTAAACCTTTTGAGTTAGTGTAGTGTTAAAAAAATAGTGAAATGTAGTGAAAGTAATAGTATGATAGTGCTACCAATATAGAACACCAGAACAAAGTGTTTTGGCCTTAACTAGAGACTATAAAAAAAGTGCCGTTGGACATATTCGTAGGTATATTATTTTATAAAACTAAGTTAAAGTTACTCATTAGCCTTGTTAGCTAGATCGTAATAATATTAGGTTAGAATATTTTAGTATTGTTACCTAGAAAAAAAATTTTTCTTCACCCCCTTAAGGGATGATTTCCGGGCTTAAAAGTATTCTATGCCCTTTCCAGGCTCTCAAACTATCTTCTTACCAAACATCTAAATCGGTTCAGTAGATCCAAAGATTACCCCCTACAACGTCACAAACTCACAATCTCACAAACTTTACCTCTTTATAATATTAGCATAGATTATGGCGGTAAAGAACATCATTGTAACTTAGTCTTAAAAAAGAATATTGATTTTTCATACATTTGAAGTTCAATTTTATATAACTGAGCTACAATGTTTTTCGTGTGTCAATAATTAATAGCATATAGCACTTTTGACAAAAACGTCCTTACAAATACGTTCAGGAAATCCCCGGTTTTTCCCCGGATTCTTGGACCTTTAATGTCAGACCAACACACATGTGATAAATTAAGTACATAAGTTGACACGTTCATAATTTAATCTAGTTGTTATCGCTTCATGACTATTTTGCGTATTTCATAAACAATTGCGCAGTAATATTCGCAAATAAATTGAAAACACCGCATCCGCAATATATTGACGTTACGTCAGTTTCACTTATAGAAAAGGTCAATAACATATTTGTTTGAAAGTTTTGAAATTGCCATGAAATTCAGGGTTTTTTTGGGATGTAGACATACACCATGGGGACTTCCCTTAATTATTTACTTTTAGCTTTTTTCGTTATTTGATAGAAAATATACAATATTTATATTTTGTGAAATATTAGTAACCTGTTACGGAGTTATGTATTAGATAATTAACTAATACGATATATTAGGCTTATAGAAGCACTTTTGAATCGTTAATTAATTTAAAAAGTGTCAGTGTCCACGAGGACCCTACCAACGGCTTGTATGGCAGTTCTGATGAGAATGATTGAGAACTCAACAGTTGCTCTTTTAAGAAACGGTTAACAATGTCTAAAACAATATTATAGCTATTTTGCATATGAGTCAATTTATCTAAATTCCACAATGTAATATGATTTACTCACTAATATATTTGTAATTTTATCTTTGAACTGTTGAAAGGGTAAATAAATCTAAGACAGCTTGTGGAATTTTATTATATGTATATATGACCATGAAGGATTTATTCACTTTTTGGAGACGGTTTCAAAACTACATCCTAGCCTATATTTTAACGCCAGATTCACGATAAGGTTTTTAATAGGGTTCTATTTTAATTGCTTTAACTTCAAAAAAAAATAGGCCTTCTCACTATTTATTGTAAAAAATATTTACTATTGCCCTAAGCGTTACTCTTTCACGCAAACGGATTTTGATGAAACTGTACAGTATTATAGCTTATACATCAGAGTAATGCATACATTATAATAATTTTTAAAGATATAGTTATACATAATTGTACTACGCATGCAGAGCAGCGGGATAACTCTAGTCTTCAATAAAGTGTACTTATAAAGATGAAAGAAAAGAAAAATCGGTCACGCAGCGAATATAAATAAGCAAAGAATTTATTTTAGTCAATTTTGAATTAACTTAATAAGTCAACTGTCAAAAAGTAAATGCTTCAACTTACCATTAATATAGCAAACGTCATCCAAATCTAGACGAGTTCTGCCAATTTCTTGCATACTCTGTGCATCGTAGCCGCTGTCACAGTGCGTTTCTCCATCTTCTTCACAGTTCTGATAGGAATATTGGTCGGAAGTTACATGTTCATCATTTATATCCAACTCTTTAAGATTCCCATTTATTTCTTCACTTTCTGAACAACACCGTCGCTGTTGGCGCTTCTTCAATTTCTTCAATACTTCAGGTTCAACGTTGTATGGCCAATCATATCTGGAAAAAGGCAACGTGATATTTCAGCAATAATTTACATTGCGAAATTCTATTTTCTATAAATTTAATTTGCGTCCCTTGATTCCCTTTGTATTTATAATTTTAGAATTCAATTTAATTTTCTTGTTAATGGCTTAAAAGCGTGCTAGTTGAGTAAAGATTACTTCGCCAATGTCACTTAAAATGGAGAAGATACGAAGGAGATTAGTCGGTAATATAATATTATGGAAGTTCGCAGAGTCACAGACATAAAGGCTTTTCAGTGATAAGTATATAGTACAGATAAATAAGACACTCATAAATAACACCTTTTAAAATATAAAGATGCACGTTTGTTTTGTAAACAGTGAGTTCATATCTTGGGTATCACACATCTGAGATTTTTATATGCTAATTTGTAACGTGATTACCACTTGCTTATATGGTGAAGGAGGACATTGTAAGGAAACCAGCATTTCTGAGAAAACCTAAGCAGTTTTTGAAAGACATGGAACATCCGCTAACATGCATGCTAGTGCGTTGGTGTGAATAACCTAAAGCATTAAAAGAAGAGATGTATCGATCAAAATTAAAAGTTCTGAATTATGTTCGAATCTAGAAGAAAAGCAATATAATAAAATAATTTAATAAAGCTGCAAATATTTTGCATAGATACAGCCTGTTTGTTTTTAACATTAACCTGTCAGTGATAACAAGTGTAAACATGAGATGAGTAAATTTTTCTCAAGTATAAAAATATCTTGAAACTAAGCGTGATAACGTTGTGATAATTACGTTTTAGATGATTTAAGGCATAAGCTTTTACTTACGCGGAAATAAAATTATTTTGATATTTGTTCTTCGTACCTGACTTCTTCTAAGCTGCCACTAAGGACTTTCATGAAACAATGCGAGTCAGCGTGGTCGTGGATGGCAGAGGCATGTCCTGGACCCCAGCAAAGGATCATGATGTTGAAGGCTCCGTTACCAGCATCAACCAAGTTACGTGTATATCTGAAAGGCAAAAATATAACAAAATCAGTGGGCTGGACAGTTTTTGATGCAATTGCTTGCGCATATGTAATTGTTCTTAGAGAGTATATTTTTGTTTGCTTCACGCGATTGTGATTCACAATAATTGTGACTCGATTTAAAAATTCCTATTCAATCAATTAGCAACTGGAGGGTTATTTCTTAAAAATGTTATCAATAACTCTACCACTGTTTTAGAAATATTAAAACTAAACTTAATCATTTTGAATGAAACTGCAACTGGTTCCCTACGTCTCTAATACTTTACAGTGATAATGTTCAAAGAGGCTCAGAGAGGCTAAGGTTGTAGACGCCGCCGAACGCGAAGCCAAAAGACACACTGGCGGCCCACCCCGGCGGGTGGTGTACCATGCAGGTTGCTCCTGTTACTTATCTTAAAATGGACCGTGAGATCAACTGCTTGGTTATTGTGATCCTCTTCGGTAAACCTGCCGTCGGGGCGTCGTGGTTGAGTGCGCAAGCGATCCTACGACGCCCCATTAAGGCGGGGGAGGTTCCGTGGTACTACTGGTTTGTCCCATATTACGACCAGTATGTATACAGGTTGTATACTTAAATGTTAAAAAAGCAACGTTAAAAAAACAGTCTGTATTTGTACCCACAAAAGTATACAATGATTTTAAAGGGCTAGAAATATGTATCCAAAGTATTATTATAAATATTGTATGAAAAAAATATATGATATAAAGTAACATAATGAGCATCTACTTTTTATCATAAAAATTAACAAGAAACCAATTAATGGCAAGCCAAATATCGCGTCATGTTTTGACAAATTGGAAAACGTTCTTAATTGATAAGATAACATATAAATAGTACTTGTTTATGCTCCACATAATATGTAGATACATGGTTTTATATTTTTCTTCACTTTTACGTATATTTTAGAGACCTAGAGATCCGAACAAAGCGAGGACAAATCACTAGTATTGCATGCAAATTAGTTTTAAAAACAATCTACGTCTCATAATAACCTTAATTTGTAATGATATGAAAAAATGATAAGCAAAATCTAGACCACGAACTTCGTGATGCAAATCAGCTATTTTTCTGAAACATCATAATCATAGGTCAAGGGTTCCATCTGCGCATGAGTGATAATATCTACAAATATACTTAAATAACTTTAAAAAAAATACTCAAAACTATAAAATAACTGAACGGGGATTTTCATTTACTATAGATTCCTAATCAGATATTTTTGAAGTCAGTGCCAGTCAATGCAAAGCAAAGCAAATCTATTTCGATACGTATAAATATATCACAAATTATAATAGAGTTTTATAATTTGTCATATTTACCTATTGGATTTCATTTCTTCTCATGTCTTAAAGCATTGTTGGCTAACACCGACTGGACAGATTTTGATGAAATGTGGTATAATGATAACTGATTATCCGGGTCAACATATAGGACACTTTTTTTCATATACGTATATAAATATTCAAAGATAAAACAGTTCTGTACCTTTTGCTCTTCTATTTGTCAACCGATTTTCTTTAATTTATTTTTTTGTTTTGGAGCTATTGACGAGATTTAGTATTATCAATGAGAAATATTGGAACATGTTTTTTTTAAATAGATAGGTAAATTCTATGAATATATTTTTTACTCAAATTTTCAATAATGATTATAGTTGAATTTCGACCACAACGCGCGAACACTATAGTTAAGGTTTAAATGGAGAATGACTGCAGAAACCTACATTTACGGACTTGCTTTTACTCACGGCTCCTCTCGCTTTGTTTATGTTAAATTTTCGGCTTCTAAAAACGGTAACGTGATTTTAGATAGCCTTTATCAATATTATAGGTACTAATATATAAACTCGAAGAATTTATAGGTTTGACTATAATGATGATCCTATTTGAAAAAATCTTATTACATTTAATAGTCTATTAAACTTTTGACAAAAGAAACAATCAAGCAAGAAGAATTGTGAAAGATTTAAGAACACGAATCGATCTCTAGCAAAATATTGTTTTAACTGTATAATATAAATATGTGTATTGTAGTTCTAGACACTGCTGATAATTACAGAGAAAACAACGCTATTAAGGTTGCAACATAGTTTGTTTATCAGAAATTTGTTTGTACATACTTGTTTTACACTCCTTAATATCAGCAACCATATTCGTATATTACAAAATAGACATATGATATAAGAAGTAAGACAAACTAATGATTCGGAGACTAGCAACATAGATACCTTTATTATTGTTTAAACTATGTAATTAAAATAGACTAGAGTATGGCTTACAGATAGAATAAAATAATGCATACTAATATTATAAATGTGAAAGTGTGTTTGTTTGTTTGTGTGTCCTTTTTTCACGTCGAAACGGAGTGACGGATTGGCGTAATTTTTTTGTGTGGAGATAGTTGGAGGGCTGGAGAATGACATAGGCTTCTTTTTACCACGTTTAAAACACGTTATCATACAACCCAAAAAAATATTTATCATCAGAATTACTTGAAACTTGGTATTAATACTCTTCAATACAATTAAATAAATACGTGTTTTAGCATTTTTCGAAATTCACCCCATAAGGGGTAAAATAGGGGATGAAAGTTTGTATGAAAACAACCTTTTTAGGTTTTTTTGTAGTTTTAGCGTGAGCGGGTTCTGCTAGTAAATAATACTTTCTTAAATTAATGTCAATATATCATTTTAAATACAACTAACCTTACGGATTTTTCAGATATCAGGAACCAAAAATCAAAATAGATCGTGACAAATCCGAAAGGATAATATAAAACTTTATTTAAAACATAACGTTTGGTATAATGCATTATTTAAACGCATTAACATCACTATTCGTCACGTCACTAATATTTACTTAAAAAGAAAATGATTGTAGTTATAACACACTAGCGACTCACCCTCGCCTCGCTCGGGATCGTCCTTAGATTGATTGATTCTCAATACAAACTTTCATCTCCATTTTCACTCCCTTAAGGGATGATTTTCGGGACAAAAAAGATCCTATGTCCTTCCCAGGATCTCAAACTATCTTCTTACCAAATCTCATCTAAATCGGTTCAGTAGTTCCAGAGATTACCCCCTACAACGTCATAAATTCACAAACTTACAAACTTTACATCTTTATAATATTAGTATAGATTAAATTCTAACATGACTCACAAATAACAAAACAAAAAACGCGGTGTATTTTCAATTTATCTGATGTACGAGTGTTATAATTCGAAAAAAAAATTCTAATGCCATCCAGCAACAGTAAATACGCAGCAATAAAAAGTTGTATCATCACTTATTGCAGTCAATAAAGGTTAAGTATCTCAATAATATATGAACTTGCAAAACAAACATATTTGAGAGGCAAATAAAAAAATGAAAAAATAGTATAGTCATAATATAGTTAGAAAATTAAAATAAATATTGATACTTTTTGTTACTTTTCAAAAAAGGCTTCTTATTTTTATTGTTTTTATAAACAAAATAATAAAATATACATTATACATACATATAGTTAATAGTGGACATTTTGAAATGTTACTTTGTTTTAGTGTCCGTGTTTATATTTTAGGTATAATAAGTTGAAACGTAGGTATATGTAGTTGAGGAGGTAATATACCACCTTCAAGCCTCCCATGTCATTATTGGATATTGTCATCAAAGTGTCAAACTCCTGCGGCTGCATAACAGCTCCAACGAAAGCTAGCAATTTTTTGAAGTTATATTTCTTATTGCACGCTTGGAAAAAATTATGAGACTAAAATTTTTACAATGCGCGGGCACACCGACAGCCAAAAAGCGACATGATAAAGTTAGCTGAAAGCAGCATGTTCAAGTTACAAACAGAGAGCAGTACGAGATAAATCCTTTAGCTATTTTTATTCTGTTACACCAAAGAAGTATAACTTCTTACGTGCGTACATAAGTACACACACGTTTTCTTTAATGGATTACAACTTTTGACAAGTAACAAATAATAGGAATCTAGAAATATAAAATGAAAATAATTAATAATTGAGCCTTTTCAACGTCCCACTGTGGAGGGTGGGTTTATCCAATCAGGCCATATCAGAAGGATCAAACTATTCCAGTCATCATTCCATCAGGCCAAATCACTAATTTTATATGATTTTTGAAAACTAGTTAGGTTCTCACAAGCAAGTTTCCTCACGATGTTATTATTTTGCCATATTATTAGCGTGTGTTACCATGTTAAAAATATTTTTTTTATTAAAATACGTACCTAAAACGATCAAACTTTGCATACTTCTTCCAATGTTTCGGATCAGACTTGTACGCAGCCATCAGCTTTTGAACTTCTTGCACATTGACGTGATTCTTTGAGAATACTTTGTGAAGTTCTACTACGAGGGTCTCTAAGGCATCGATTTGTCTAGAAAAGTAAAAAAAAATAAAATTTTCAGTATTTTTGTTACCGCTATCATATGTAATCTACATATCTGAAATAGCACATAGGTTACTTTTTATCCCGTAAAAATGTACGCTTCCCGTGGGATAGGTTTGTTTTTGTGGGACTAGGGACAAGCAAGAACGAAACGAAGTTGAGTCACTAGTTATTTATAAATTTTCAATATTGAACGCTAGTATGTCAAAATACACATTCACCAGGTACCTATATTCTAAATTATCGAATTTAATTAGTTATAGTCTTTAATATCGTTATGATTATTTAGAAATAAACTCTACCATAATTTGCGTATTATTTAAGAATTTTCACTATTTTCCTGTCAATTTTACTTAATGCGACCAACAAACACACATGCTTCGTCTTTTTTGAAAGTAAAGAACTCTGTTAGAATATATAAATACTTACTGATCAATCTTCAAAGGTCGTTCTATCGACAGTTGTTCTAGGTCCGTACATTCTGACACACGGGTTTTGCAGTTGGCGGACTCAATCTCCATGTCTAGTCTAAAACAAATTTATTACAAATATAATAAATAAAATTGAAGTGTTTTTTTGAAATGTCAAAATAACAACTTTTTACTACATTTATATGAAAATATATATGGTAGTTATATAAGAAAAACATTTTTTATAATTTTCGTCTGGTTGTTTGGTCTGGTTAACCTCCCAAACGGCTGGACTGATTTTGACGGGACTTTCACTGGCAGATAGCTGATGTTGCTAGTAATAAATAATGTAGGCATTAGTCCCGGGCCTAGAGTTACAAAATAACACTACAATTGTGAATGCATATACACATGTTGGAGTTTGGTAAATTTAATCTAGGCAGAAAGACTTAAGACCTAGAGTATTATATAAGCTACTACGAGTATTAGTAATATTTTTTAAGATAGCGCTGCTTTGCCCTGTATATAATATTGTAAATACAAAAGAGACCTAATGATGCTAATGAGCGTTGATAGTACTAATTATGTGTAATTTAATTCGAGACTGAACTTTCTTAATTACATCGTATATTTTGGAGTATCAAATTTTTTGCATTACGAGTACATATGTTAATTCACCTAATTTAATGCATATCTTGAAACTGTCAATATAAGTGTGTCAACGCCAAATATCGATAGTAGATTTAGAAAATTCATATTTATTCCATAGTATTTCTTAGATTTTCATGGCATAATCCCATTTTACTGAATTTCTTTTTGAGTCAGTCAATGGTCGATAAGCATGTCAGTGTTCTGACCTTTTATTAATATTAATAACTTGACAATTATCATCTATACATTAATTTACGTGAAGCAAAAACTTTGACTGTCGGAGGAGTATGAAATTTCCCACACTTATAGTTTATATAGAAAAGGAGTGCAAAATGCTTTTTTTTTAATTATGAATAAAAATACATTAAATCAATAAAAAAACATTACACACACTACCATCTATTTGACACACCCACCGCCCACGAATATATAGGTACTCTTTTGTTTATTGTTAAAGTCTGGTGAAATTGAGATTAGATTAATATTGTTTGTAATTTGTTTCAAAATTTTTTTTGGATTTTATAGCCCTATTTAATATTTATTATATATAACTTTGAAAAAATAATCTCAATGTCGATTAAACTTAATGAATTATGGTTGATTTTCAGCCACGAGGCAATCACTAGAATAATTAATCGTAAAGACTTTATAATATTATGTTCAAGTAATTTTATTAGATGTGTTTGCATTAGATTGCAAGTATCTGCCTTCCGGATATAGCTAGAGTCATACAGGAAATATCGTTTCCATGGTTACTCCCTTATTTTATTCGCTATTTTCCTTCTACTATGGTCCTTGTTAGCTTTTAGGGTTTCAATTTTCGAACCCCCAATTATTAATTAACACCAATATTCAAAAGATCTCCTTCGTTAGTCATCTAACTTGAACCGATATGACATCAGTGAGATGGTCCTTAGCCAAATTTGCTTTCTATAAAAGATATCTCTAATAGAAAACTAAAATGAGAGGTAGCGATTATTTATGAATTTAGGTAATATGTTATTTCCTTACATTTCTTTCGTTTTCTTCTCTTAGCTACAGGTATATAATATATAGATTATATTTATTTATACAATTGAAAATATTTCCAGATAAAACCTACCACACATTACGTGGGGTTATTATTACTGCAATAATAAATATTTCATTATTATCTGTGTTTTTAACCTTTCACCTTTGATGGCCGCATCACAATTTAGCCTCTACGTAGGAGAAATAAGCAGCTTTTATTATATTATTGTTCAAGAGTGTTTTGTTTCATATGATGTAAACAATATACATTAAAGTTAATTGAGGAAATTAACTTTGATATATATATATATATATATATATATATATATATATATATATATATATATATATATATATATATATTAAAATCTTTTTGTTCGTCAAGTAGAGACAACAGGCGAAGATATGATTGACTCGATTTTTGCCACAAATAGTGGATTTGAAATTGCTATTGGCGTTATTAGTAGGTAGCTTCCTCACGGACTGACGCTCTCATTAAATTGTCGATTCAAAAGTACTTATAATAAGTCTAATTGATTAAAGTTTATTTCATTTCATTTCAACAATTTTTTCTTATTCACCAAAATACTTTTAAAGAAAATATCTTTTGAAACAAGTATAAACTGTGACAGATGCAAATTTAATTATTGAAATATAGTGAGTGCTTTTTGTATGGTATTTCAAAAAAAATCTGCGCCATATTAAAAAATGTTTAACTATACCGGCATGTTATGTCTGGCAAATAAAAATGTAATTAAATACACATATTTATCCAATATTGGTATATCAGAAGTAAAATTGGTAGTCAAATCGCTGGTAAGTTTTGAAAATTATGTCTCACTCCTAAAAAGAACTAGCGAAACAAACTCAATTTAATTCAATTTTCTTGTTAATAGCTTCAGATTATTTTGCCAATTGCAAGACATGAAGGTCGCGAAAGAAACTCATTAAAATTTGTTATATGCACAATGTATTTTGGACGTCTCTAATATCATAGATATTTGTTAAAATTATAATTACACTAGCATTGCCCGCGGTTCCGCCCGCGTTCAGATGACCAAAAACCAAATTCTTAGGTTTTACATATTAGTATACTCTTACAATGCAGTTTTTGTATTTTTTCTCTAAAATGAGATATTTTCCCGCGATAAAAAGTATCCTATATGTTGACACGGATAATCAGCTATCACCATACCAAATTTCATCAAAATCCCTCCAGTGGTTTTTCTGTGACACAGACAGACAAAAATTCTAAAAGCTATAGATTCGGCCTCTGTATCGATAATAATGTTTATTTCAATAAGATTTTCCAAAAAATATTTAATGTACACATTCAGCTTAGTTACAATTTTATTATATGTATAAATTAATTTGAAAGAGAAAAAATCTTCATGTACATACATATATCAATAATAGATAACCTTTTTCAGTTAATGGTCAATATTACTTAAATAACTTCCATGCTTAATATTATAAATGTGAAAGTGTGTTTAATATTTATATAGTCCATAAAAAAATTAAAAAAATCCAAAATTATCATTTTGGAGATATCTTCAAAATTATTTGCCTTGTATCTTTTCTCGTGGGAACTATTACATGTCTATTTAAACGTAAGGAAAGTAGGACGTACAAACAAAATTGCTCATGTACAAGTTTCTTCTATGGTTTCGCTCACGCGCACTTGAAAAATATGTTTCACTTCTTTTGTTTTGACAATATTGGGCCATTTAAATCTTGTAATCCTTATATGTATAACTTTAAAATTAACATTTAACACTCATGTATTATCGGGTGAAGAATATTCTATCTTTTGGTGACCATATACGAGGGGAGACCGCGTCAACTCCTTAGTTGTAGAGGTCTTATTCGGTAGGTAGCCGCCGGGGCGTCGTGCGTAAGTGATCCTGCGACAATACGATCCAGAAAAACAATATCGTGTGTTTGTGTGCTAAGCTCATTTTCAACGTTTAATGATTCATTGATAATTTAGTAACAAATATCTAAAAATCTTCACAGTGACTTTTATTCGCTTCGCTTCGCTTCACTTCGCTTTGCTCAGATGCCAAACTTAACTTATATTTTAGTCCCGGAAATGGTCTATCTGTGTACTAAATTTCATCCAAATCCGTCCAGCCGTTTCAGCGTGAAGGAGTAACTAACATACATACATTCGCATATATAATAGTCCGATAACTGTTAAAGCCAATAAATGCAAAGCAAAGGCGGTTACATAGTACGGAATTCTAAAAATTAGAACGGTCTCTATGTATGGTTAAAAATGCAGTTATTTCCTTTATATATATGTACTGCGGAATCAAATTGAATGTGCATGACTAGTTGAACTTCGTTTGTTTGTTGAAAGATTAAAAGATATAAACGATTTACTTCACGGTAAAAACTTTCTGTTTATTATATACGAGTAGGTATAGGAATAGGGAATAAGAGTTATATTTTATGATAAAGGAGCCATATTTAAACATAAAATTGAGGTTGTTTGGGGGTGGATTTTTTGTTAAAACTTATTAAAGCCCTCATAGTTATATATGGACACGATTTCTTGAAATTTCTCTCCTATCTTTATATTCATATTATGAAATTTAAAAAAACTGTATACGGCAGCAATAATATCGTGCATAGGCACGATGTCGCTTGTAAAAACAACATTGTAATGACGTAAGTACTGTTCGCAAAATAATATTTTTTATGACATTGAAACACCATCAAAGTAATTTCCCATAGAGGAGGAATCTTTTTTTCTTAAATTGTAAAAAAATATTAATATAAAAGAATAATAAAAACACTCTCAATCAGCGAAAGTATCATACACATAGAATTTAAAAATAACACCCTTAGTTAAAACCTCTTCCTTTTTTGTTCCTCCAGTATTAAAAAATAATATTACGGGTCATATCTGAAAAGACCACCATACCACCATCACCATACCACCACCACCATACGACCATTACCAGACCACCATAAAAAAGTACTTTAATTCTCGAAGACTTCCAGGGAAAGTGTAAACTTAGATTCTTGTTAACATTTTTTCTATAAATATCCGTGTTATATCAGTAATCTTACTCAACACGATCCCTTATTGCGATAAACTTGAAAGCTTATAGAACCTGTTTCTATCCTTTCAATGCAAAACTTACTTACCGAAGAAGTTTCTCGAAAGTGCACAAAGAAACACAAAATACTACAAAATTTTATTTTATTATAAATATATAAAATTTGCACACTTTAAGGCACTATAAACCTTGGTCTTTGCTCAAAATGAGAAAAATGCTAAAAACGGACTGTCTTGGCACGCAGTTAAATGTCAAATGACACTAATTTTCCCGCGCATTTACTTTTATCGACGACCGCGTCGCTTGAGCATTGCATGTCGTTTATGCGACAATTTCTTTCTTAAAAGCGGATCTTCTTTTGTGAAAATTCATTAAGGTTGTATAACAAATATTTAATGCCTCGTAAGTTTATATTAACTAAAAGTATACTATAATTATCATTATATAAATAAAGCAAAAAGATTTTTAACATCTTACCTGCTTTTCAGAAGCAACAAACAATTATAATTAAAGCTATGTTTTCAGACTTTTTTCAGTTTTATTTCGATTTTCAGTAAGCAAGGTCACAGGATAGACTAAGATTTTTGACATTTCATAAGTTATATCTAGTTATTACGGATAGTGAAAAAAAGAAGTGAGTAAAATTAATTTGGAAGAAAAGAGAAACAAAATATCTTTCAATTTGAAAAATATTATTGGAAACAAAAAGATTAAATCTCACCCTGGAAATATTTGAAAAAGAAAAATAGTTTTCTTTAAAATGTCAAATAAAGTTTAAAGTTACAAAAAAAATAATCCTTGTCAGTGTTTTAGTTCCCAACATTTCAAATGCTTTACAGCAAACATTTGCCTCTCCCGTGACTATGTTCGCTGTAAAACATTCGGAACGTACGTAGAGGAAGGTTTCGTTGGATCATAAGGTATAGTACTGGCCGGAGTAATATAACTCTACCTGTACGTATATAGGTGTTATGCTTAAATCTATACCACTTGTATGTATTAAGGTGGTAAGCGTAAATGCTTTTCCCAACGTTTTCTATACTTCAATTGAGTGAATCCAGCTTGAGCTCTCCATTCAACACGCTTTCATACAAAACCAGTATTATGTGATCTATGACAAAACGAAGGCCAAATGTATTATGGTTGTATATGTTAAAACATAGCATAATATGTCATTCTCATCCGGATACAACTACTGAAGACCCGGTATATTATTAGAGCTTTTTATTCTATTGTCTATCCCAAAAATCATTTTAAGGTCCCGGAATAAAAATAATACGTTTATGAATACGTCCGGTAAATACGTAGGTGTGTATAGCTCATTATTTGGTCTAAAGCTAACATTAACGGCTGTAGATCCTGAGTTATTAGGTTCGAGTCTTGGGTCGGACCAAGTATAGCTATTTAGTGTTTTTCTCTCAAGATATCCTTATTAGCAGTCCGGTATTGTAAATTGAAAACTGCGCCTATTATACATATTTCTCACCACGAGTGTCGAAGTATCGTCCCATCGAACTTTAAAGTTGACCATGAAACGACCATGATACCCCATTTCAAAAGATTTTTTTTTCGTTGAATTTCTTACGTGAATATTCTGGAAAGTTTTATTCTTTATCACAGTGTTTGTTAATTGACAACGTCACTTGGTCGCGTTATATAAACATATACGACGATATTATTATGAACTAACGACTAACCCTCACTTCGCTCGGGTGCGTCAGGTCGTCGTACGTCAGATACGTTTTAAATATAAATAGTTATTGCGAGTGTACCTCATGCTTGATATTGCGGACTTTTTTGTAAGTCTTTTTAAGTTTAACTTTATTAAATCTAACATGTTTAGCCAAAGTCATGTAAATTTCTAAGGGTGACTCAAAAACACAATACCTGGTATTGTGTTTTCCCGTGGATGAAAGATTTTCCTGTAGTAAGAGGTATTCTAAATGTTGACTCGAGCAATAAGTTATTACTACACAAAATTTAATTAAAACACGTCCAAGCCAAATATTTTAAATAAGGTGTAGAGTTTGTGAAGTTAGGGCTTGTAGAGTTAGGGCGTGTAGAGTTAGAAGCTTGGCTCTATATGAGATCTGATAACTTTATTGAGGCACGGGGATCGGGGCAAATAAAAGTTTTGTGAGTGATATATATATATATATATATATATATATATATATATATATATATATATATATATATATATGTATTATTTCTTTCAATTACGGTATATACTAATAACAATAAGGATGCGACCGTTCGCTTCCCGATTTCCCCGTGACTGGCGAGACGGCGCATTCCAAGCCATTATATATTATATCACAACTAGTGCATGGTATGCAAACCTGTAGTAGTGTGTCCCTACAACTTTTTGACAGGGCAAGCCATATGGTCTCGTCTTGGCAAATGCAATGGCGATTTGCTAAAAATCTTAAAATATGTATTTTACTATTTATAACAAAGAGTCCCTATATCAATTGTACGATCTCTAGCATCAAAATTTGCAGAAGTCTCATACAAACTTCCATCCCATAGTTTAAGGGGTTGGGGGGTAAAAGCTCCAAGTTTTAGAATTTTTTGTTGTTTATGTACTAATACTAGCTTACATACCAAATTTTAGCTTTCTAGGACTTCAGGATCCCTAAGCATTTTGATTATCATCAGTGAGTTTATTAGATATTAATAAAATCTAAAAGTATAAGATCAATACAATTGAAACTTTATATTTTCAATAAATCTACTATTAAATTTGTTTATCTGGTATAATCCAAACCTAAGTTATGAGGAATCATAAAACGACCAAGCGCTTCGGGAAAGGGTAGTTAGTCCCCTTGCGCTTCGCTTGGCTCGTCTTGGCGGGGGCAATGACGTGCCTCCAGATATACATATAAAAGCGGCGATATTCATGGATACTTTCATGTAAAACAACAAATAATTAAAGCCAATTGCTTAATACAAGATAGTATTTAACTGTTGATCTAGTGAGCGAAAAAAATATTAATGACATCAATGATATCGGGCTGAAAATTTATTATTATTGAAATAAATTATTGTTTAAGTTGCTTTTGGATAATGTAGCTTTCCAACAGCGAAATCATTATTAAAATCGGTCCAGTAGTATCAGACTTCATAGATTTTAAACAAACGTATGTTTGTATGTGGGTAATAGGGTATGTGTATGTTTGTACGTGAGTAATAGGGTATGTGTTTGTCACTCTTTCATGCTGAAATGGCCGTATGAATTTGGATTAGATTTAGTTTATAGATAGACCATGATTTGACCTGTAACACATAGGATACTCAATACTGTATGTTTGATGAAAATCAGTCCAAGATAGTCGAGGTTTTTTGAATTTTTAATTTAATTTAGTTATCCCTCATATCTCTTAAGTGCTAACCTGAAATTAAACTGCTTTGTGTGGAAGTGCACAGATGTGGGATCTTAAACTGTATATTTGAGTCTTCTCTATGGTATAAGCAAATATTTTTTACAAGACGCCTTAAACAAAATGTCATTTTACAATTATTGAAGAATAAATCTAATATATTTAAACGATCAATTCTAGTATACACACACACATACACACACAGGTATATATATATATATATAAATCTCGGAAACGGCTTCAACGATTTTCATGAAAGTACCAGTATTTCGTATACAGGGGGTTTCGGTGGCGATAAATCGATCTTAATTAGTTTTATGTCTGGGAAAACGCGTGTTTTCGAGTTTTCATGCGGTTTTGTTTCGCATTATTCCACACAAAATATATTCGCACGCTAGGACATAAGCATCATGGTCAAGCGGCCATGGCGCAAATGTGACAACCACCGGTGTCTGGGTTCGTATTCTGGCCGGATACAAAGTTGTTACTTTTGTTTTTTTTTTATTTATTCAAATTTTTAGCTTGTTTATTTAAATGTTTTTTTGGTCAAAAACTCCCAGCGAAGCTCGGTCGCCCAGGTACTGGTAATAAAATGACAAATTCAATAGTTATGTTAGAATCATAATAAACCTAGTATATTATAGTGCAGCGCGTGTACGCGCAGACACAAATGCACTCTCATTCTTGTCACTCTCATACTCCGGTGGAACGATATATTCTAAAGGATTTGAAAAAGAATTGATATTGAAAAGAATCTTATTTAAGCCAACTAGCTTTAATTTAAGCTATCCATCGAATTTTTATTATAATAGCGAAAGTCTGTGTATGTGTATTGTGTATGTTTGAACTCCTTTACGCTTAAATGTCTGGGATTTGTATGAAGTAATGTATATTAAATACAGACAAATTCTGACTGTTCAATTTTTTTTAATATTGAGAAATGCATTTACACATATCACCTACATATCCTACAGGTGGTTATGTGGGACTCACCGGCTAGAGACGCGAATACTACCCACTAAAACCAAACAAAACCTTCCCCGTTTTAATGGGACGTTGCAAGATTGCTTACTCGAACGCCCGAACCGAACGACTGCAGGTATGCCAAAGCAGACCACAACAATCAAGGGGTTGCTCCCAAGGTCCATTCTGCTATCAGAGATGTATCAGGAACAACCCGCATAGTACGCCACCCACTCAAGTGGGTCACCTCCCAGTGTGCCCCAGGGCTTCACGCCCTCCAGCAGCCGGTGAACACACATTTCCGGGGAGATATTATGACACACCACCTAGAGACTTATCCGATCCAAGCGAGGGTAAATCGTTAGTAGGTACTAGGTACTAAAATAAGAAAGTCTCATCACTATATGTTCAGTTATTTTTAAACATTAAGCAAACAAACAGACGAAGAATGAAATATAATTTAAATCCTGAAAACATCTCTCACGCGGATGATAACACATTTCACGCGTAGGTAATTATAATAATAATTATATGTAAGACGTATATTTTAATACGCATATATACATATTTACTCATATTTTACAAAAAATAATAATATTGAAAGATGTTTCATATGTTTTTGCTGTATGTATTTGCTGTTTTAAACAAGAATCAATAAAAACGGTTTTATCCCATTTTTTGGACCAAGTACCTTTCATCACCATCGGACAAATAATTTATGAACACAAAGACATAAAGAAACATTCATTTTTATTTATAATCAAAATAAGATTTCTGCCTTCTTGATGAAACTTCAGGTGTATGCCCCACGGCCTTAAAACAACAGGTAGGATATTCCATATTTTTTAAAATACTATAATCCATTTCCAACGTGATTATCTCCTGTCGTACATTGAAAAAAAACACCCTGAGAAACCTGCATGTTTGACTGAGAGAACCCACCAAGTTTTCAAAAGGCATGTGAAGTCCA